CTTGCTGGAAAGGCTTGCAAGCACGAGAAAGGTCCCTTGCAACTTGGAGTCCAGACTCAGAGCAATGTGGGCTGTCAAGAACTCAATGAACAGGGCTTGTGTACGGAAGGCCCTTTAATCCTGTGGGAAATGCGGCAGGTCACCGACGATTCCCACCTGCTTCGTCCACAATTCCCCGTTCTGCTTCAATTTTGATCCGCTTGAGAATCCGGAGAATGCCCACCGGACGCCCCATGTAACGAGAGCCTAGAGTCTCAGGGACATGAACAATCTGCACTCAGGACATTCTTCATCTCTCTTCGGTTACCTAGCAATCGTCGCTGGCATGTTCCGACTCCACTCTGTCCCGGTATATCCATGTGAACACGGTTTTGCAGTCATGAGCTATGACTCAGAATCAACACCTGACAAATGTTCAAAACAACCCCTCCGTTGCCTGCCGTCAGTGTCTGCTCCAAAGAAACACGCACTCTGGTGCTGCCTGCCACGTCATTGCTTAGTCCCCGCGTTTCAGAGCTCTAGCATGCGCCTGGCTGCCCCCAGGCAGAAGGACCGCGAACGGGAGCTTCTGCTCCCGGCTCCTTGTTGCAGCTGCGAAGTCGGGCTGCTCGAAAAGTATGGCTTTTGATATTCGGGCCTGGCCCGTCAGCCGCCGGAACAGACTAGCGCCCGTTGCACCCCTTTCAACGAAAGCGATGGCCTCGAGAGCACATCAGCATACAGCAGCACAGCAAGGCCTCTCAGATCGTGGATGCCCGTCGCCTCCGAGGCGTTGTCCCCGGGTCGCACACCCAGTAGTCCGTCCAGGCCGATGAGTTCGTAGACCTGTGAAAGGGCGCAGGTGCCGACAGGGGGCGCAAAGCTTTCATTTTATCTCTCGGCCTCGTCAAGGGTTTTCAGTCCGACGAAGCGAAGACAGGGCTGCGAGCTCAGTGTCTGCGAGGGAGTGCAGGCTTGTACGCTAACTTATCAAAATCAGGATGCCTAGCCAGTGCTGCAGATCCCGCGAAGCTCCGCAAGAGCAAACCCCTGCCAACCACAGTGCGATTCGTGTTTTGAACAAACTTGGCAATCCTGATTCCTGCATGGGACCCGACAATGGGACTTAATGATGGACGCAGGAACAAAGCTGTAGCAGCAGGACATGCACTGGAGGCGAGTCAATGTTCGGACACGCGGTCTTGAGGTTTACATCCCGACCATTTAACTTCTGGCCTTCGTATGATACTAAAGTCAAATCTACGTGTGGCAACATCTCAACATGCTCCTGAGGACATTTTGCAGGTTCTGCCAGCACATGTCAGACAACCAGAGAAGCAGTGCAGAGCACCACATCATCTCGGCCAACTAAGAGTTTGAAGCTGGGCAGGACGTTCGGCTGCGCAGGGACTTCTACTTCTACTTTCAACCCTGTCTTTGACAAGGTTATGGAGTTTTGTTTGCGATGTATTCAAGGACGCAGGGAGCCGGATCATGGCAGAAGAATCACAGGTGAGCTCTAAGTTGCACAGCAGTGCTCTCAGAAATGTGGTCGGAGGATACATCTCTTCCGCAGCTCACGGCAAGCCCACGTGCAAGACCGAAAATCAGCTCCCAAAGCTGCTTTGCTGGCTCGGCTTGCTCCTGGAGCTAACGCAACAAGTCTACCTACCCTGGGAAGCCCTGCGAATGATTACAGGGCCTTCCAAAAGTGGTGCGAAACCTGTTTGGGGAATTGCTGAAATGCTGCTCCGGAGGCTGCAAAAAGTGGTGCAAACCCTGTGTGGGAAATCGCTCCAATGCTGTCGGGAAACTGCTTAAAGTGGCGCGAAACCTGTTTGGGAAATGGTTAACTCCTTGATACCGCGGATACCTAGTATCAGGGTCCTTCTGCTTCAATGCACTGTTTTAACCGCTTTTCGGTTGGGCAGCGACCTGCAGCGACCGCATCTGTGCTCGGCTCTGTGAGGTACGGAATTTGCAAATCGACTGGACGGAACCCCACGGCTCCAGACTAGTGGCTGGAGCATTTGATGGCCCAAACCCTGCTTCGGAACCTGCGGGGGGGGGGTTCCTCAAGAAGGTGGTGCGAAAACTGTTTGGGAAACTGCTCGCAGACTGCTGAATCGCTGCTCCGGAAGCTGCAAAACGTGGCGCGGAACCTGTTTGGGAAACTGCCCGCAGACGGTTGAAATGCCCGAAAGCCCAAATGGCCGAAACGTGGTTCGCTAAAACTGCTTGAAAATCGGTCGGTTGTCTCCTTGATACCCAATCAGGGTTGTTCTGCGTCGGGAGTGTGGAATGTACAAAATTGGCGGTGAATCCATCTTGACTTGGCGGCGTGGCGGCGTGACCGAACCGACGGTTGCAGAGGGCTCTCCCGGCACATTGGCAGGCTTGTGACAGGGACTGTTTGTCCTAGGTATGTTTGTGGGCTCTTTCCTGAACAGTTCCGAATTGGCTCCGAACCACTTCCGAAGCGGTTCCGAACCAGTTCCGAAAGGGTTCCCGAACGGTTCCCGGTCCCGAACAGTTCCGAACGCTTCCCGAACAGTTCCTGAACGGTGGGTCCCTCTGCATTGGCAGGCTTGGGATAGGTATGAGCCGTGGGCAGAACCTTCTGCGAACGGATTCCGAACCGGTTCCGAATCGAACCGATTCCGAGAAGCAGTTCTCGTCCTGTTTCAGGGGCCGTTAGTGCTGAGAATGCGTCTGGGCTCCTGCCGAACAGCTCCGAATCGGTTTTGAACGGTTCGACAAGGGGCTGGCTGGGCCTTAGCCGAGATTCCTGGCGGACCCTCTCCCTCTGCAGCCCACAAGCATTCCCAGGACGCTGGGCCCCCGAGCTTGGGACTCCCTTGGATGGGCGCCTCTCTCGGGTTCGGGACTGCTCGGGAAGTTCGGAACCGATTTCGCGGAACTGGTTCGGAGCCGGTTCGGAACTGATTCGGGGGCCGATTTTGAACTGTCCTGCCCACGAGCGTTATCGGGGCTTGCGATGCTTGTCTCAAGCCTGCCAATGCAGATTCGGAACTGATTCGGAAACGGCTTGCAGCTGTTCAGGGTCGAGCATTCCCGCAGCGAACGGTACTTGTCTCATGCCTGCTAGTGCACAGAGAGAGCATACCGTTCAGGCACTGTTCGGGAACAGTTCGGAGATTCGGAATCCGTTGGGGGTCCAGCTTTTCAGCGAAAAACCGGGGCCCACAGGCCGGGAATCAACGCGGCCGTAGTAGAAGTAGCATCGAGTTTGGTCGATCCCCGCAATCTCGGTGTTTTGTGACATCAAGGAGTCAGGACCAACCTTTCCTCGATAGACCTATTCCAAAAAACCTTCGAAATGCTTAATGCTTCAGACTAGACCCTCTCAAAACCCCAAACTACTTTTGCATCAGTTTTTGGCTACCCGAAGCCTAGATCATGAAATGCTGACAGGTCTTCAAGGAGCCTCGTTGAGGTAAGATTATGCGAAGGTCAATGATGGTTCAGCTCTATTCCAAAACGCACCCGGAATGCTTCACACTAAATTTAGTCATGATTCTAGACAGCCCTCTCCATTATAGACCTGTTCCAAAAAGGACGTGGGAATGCTTAAGACTCGAACCCCTAAAAACCCCAAAGTACTTTTGCACCAGCTTTGGGCTCCCCGGAACCCCAACCCATTAAATCTTATCTTAAGCATTTGCGGGGCTCCTAAATACCTACCCCTCTCCACTTGCAAGGTTTGCTGGGGAAGGCTGCCAGATTCCCATCGCATGGCTTTGGTTCGCTTCGCTGTTTAGCACCCTCTCTAGCTCCTGGAGGAGACGTCCGACAAAGCGCTGCTCGTGGTGGGACCTTCGCAGAAAGCGAAAATAGAATCAAGAAAGCGCAGGAAACAAAGGGTAGGCCCTTGGGCCCTTGGGCCGGCAGGCCCTTCGCTTCAGAAACTAGGCTTCCAACGCCGGTAGGCTTCCGAAACTTCCTCGAAGCATGGCGCTTGACTTGACTGGCACCAATCTGCACCAATGGAGAGGCATCACTCGTTTGCTTTCGAGCTTTATACAGGTGGCAGACGCGTCAAACAACGATCGTGTGAGCAATTGCAGTGACAGGCAGGTGCTCACACTTCTTGGACCTGGGGTGTGGAGCACTCCCGGGTGAGCATCTTGCAGTTTTAACTGGGAAGTCTCATACCATCGAACATACTTCACGTTTTGACATGGAGATTGGGGCTTCGCGCACGAGGTCGTAGGCAGGAGACCTCAGCAAATCTCTAGCGAAAGTCAAGTCCTGAGTGCGTGGTTGAAGCAAACTTATTAAAAACCCGCCTCCCCCCAACCCGTTGCAAGCTTTGCCGCTTCTGTTTCATTTTCTCGCGCGGTCGGTACCAGGTCGAGTTGCGTGAAATGGCTATGGTGCCGCTAATTCCTGGCTTTGTGGCTGATGTGACTGTTTTGTTACCTTGCAACGTGAAGTGTTTTTCAGCTGTCTCTGTGGGGACTCTCTGTTTAAGTCCCTTCTGCTAATGGTCCTGTTAAAATTTCAATAGCAGGGCTCAGCATCTGGGAGTTTGTCAGAGGGCTGGCCATGCTGGCTTTGCTGCTGCACGACCACTCGCCTCGGGCACGGCCCATGCCGTTCCCTCTTTCCTTTCCCGAAACCTCTTTCCCCTTCTCTTAATCCCCTCGCGGGTGACCAGCCCCACGCCTCCTCCAACAGAACAAAGTGGATTTTGGCTTCCAAGCGCCCATGACCAGAGATTTTGACTGTGGAGTGCTGATGGCCGCGTCATGTGCTCGAAAGAGCGCTGCCACCTTCGTCGTCGACTTATTATTGGGCTCTGCATCCGGGCCGAGGTGGACGACGCAAAGCCTTCACAAGTACTACATGTTTTGGTTATCATGTATATCTATATATATATATATATTATGTAGACACAGACATTGTATTCATTTATATGTCAGCAGTTTGTCTTGCTGTGAGTGCAGCACATCTAGCACATCTATGGTCAGCATGAGACGAGTCATCACACAGCGGTCCTTGGCCTCTGGAACAGACAGGTGGCTCTTTTGACTCCCCATGGATAGGCACGGAGATGCTGATCGATCCAGCTGTGGAGCCGTCTGCACAGCCAGATGCTGGCTGTGACCTGTCGTTTCTATAACCAGGCTCAACAAAACTCCAAACTCCAGAGCATCCCTGCATCATGGGTCACCGGATCTGGGGAACGAGCTTCTGATGTCTAGCGCTAAGCTCCGCTGGGCATCTTCCTCCGATTCGAAAAAAAACTTCTGTGAACCTCAGTCGTGGCAAATCCAATGACAAACGGATGCTGCCAATGCCCAGCTCATGAGTCTCATGAGCCATGAAAGCAGATAACTTAATGAGGCTTGACACCCTGACTCACGTGGCAATGGGTCTCATTCGGTGCGACTTGAACTAAAATTTGCCAAAAACCACCGGTTAGGACTCGTAAACGGAACTTGTGAGCTTGCGGCCCACCTGTCAGTGAATGTCCACAGCATGTATGCTCCAAGCAAGTAGCCTGAACGTTTTCAAAATGCTCCGGTTACCTTGCCTCGCAGCTTTTCCGTGTTCCGGCCCACGAGTACGACTTGTACGCGCACTTCACCGGTCCACTGAAAACGACGGAGCCTGGCCTCAACAACTTCCCCACACGGTCGCGATGCGGTTCTTACCGGGAAGCTATCTCGTCTCAAAACGCACCCTCAAACTATGATTGTCAAGACCGTGCTTCTCAGGCACAGTAATTGGTTGCGACCTTTGACTTGAATTCCAGAATATTCCAGATTCCAGACAAACAGCAAGCCGGAATTGGGATGCTGAGCTTGTGACAAGGCGGGGTGTTTGTTTCGGGTTGAGTGCCTGGGGTGTAAGTTAAAGCAGAAAGCAAGGAAAGATACGGCGAAGCTTGATAAACTCAGACTTGCTGTGTAAGGGTGTTTGGAATCAATGCAAATTATTCTCCACGTCGGGTTGCTCTAGCAGTTTGGGGCGTGGACTTTGCAGTTACTCAAGAGGGAGATCAGCCTTGGTTGGCGCCTTTTGGATGGTTTAGAACTGTTGCGTTTTTCCTTGAGCGGGTTGCTCTCCTTGCCTCATTGCATTCAACTTAAAGCCAAACATTTTCTTCAGCTGCTGCTGGCACCTTGGTTGGCATCGCCGCCCCCGGCCAAGACCAAGGGCAGTGCCACTATCGATGTCTGCTTCACCCTCCACAGCTAACGGTGCCTTCCTTGTTGAACCAAGCAGACACAAATTTTGCCGTATCCTTTCTCATAAAACAGATCTGCCGGTGACACTAAATCCCTTTGTCATTGCGTGCATCATACTCCTTGTGGTCTGATTCTTGTATCACAAACGAGAACCTGTCTAATCTCCATGTATACAAGTCCTGTATCACGAGTATCGAACGGAAACATGTCTCCGAAAATCTGCAACCCCTCACCTCCACCAACCCCTGTCATAAGTCAGACGCCCAGTCAGATTTCCCAGTGTCTTACGTCTCCCCTACCCATGCATTCGTCATCGCTAGGAGAACCAAGGGCAAAAATGTTTGACCGCTTGGGTGCTGATGCAACGGGGACAGCTTTGCTTCTGTCACATGCCTCATCCTCATGAGACAGGGAGTCGCTCTGCTGATGACACAACGGGCTGGGAGGTGAAATCGATCTGTTCTCTCATCTGCCCTGAACTCTTGAGGGTGTATATGACGTCGGTATGTACAGGCAGAGAAAGCAGCTGCAGGATTGTAGAGGTTAGCCGTTGTGCGCCTGCATACTGACTTCAGATACCTGCAGGCTGAATCAATGGCTTTCAGACGCACGACCCTGTTGCGACTCGCTTCCCGGAAAGCGTTGCTGTTGGGACAAGACAAGCCCAGCTAGGAATTGAAATGACTGAGCTTGATGTGCGAGGAGGCACAAGAGATTCCTGCTGAAAGGGCCATTGAATTTCGCCTCGGCCTGCTCATGAGGTTGGATCCATAAGTGTACAAGACCCCATCCGTCGTGCTCATTATGCATTTTGCATTTTACGACGACCGGTTATACATACTTCAGGTAGTCGTCACATGTCAACTGAGCACTACCATACAGCATGAAACCAGCAGCTTGGATTCGATATGATTCGATGATCTGAAGATATGAAACAGTCAACTTCCAGCGATGCAAGAAGCAAAGCATAAGCAAAGCTTCGTAAGCTGAGACACTGCCGAGTTTTCGTACAGATGCCTCACAGGGGGCAAGGGACAGCACAGCGAATTTGCCATTTTTGTCACAGCTTGGAGGCTGGCAACACTGCAGCTCATGGAGGCCGAAGGGCTGTACGAAGACTCGGAAAGGCTGGGAAAGAGTGGCCTCACCACTACACTGCGAAAGTCGTTACAGATTCGAAGTGCAGCCAGCCTCCACCGACCACGACTGCTTCTGATTGGCATCTGTCGCAAGTCGAGCCGATGCGGATAACAGAACTCGTGCAGGTGCTGTCTGAATGCCACACTTGCTTGCTGTTTTGACATTTCACCGATAGCTTGTTTCAAACAGTCGGTCTCTGTCCGCTAGTACCTTCGGGTCGACGAGTTTAGGCAGGCATAGCTCATCCTTTCATGCGAAACGCGAAGGCCTCGCCAAAGACAACTTGCTTCAATGACCTGGCATACGTAGTGGCTGCGCGTCTGTCCCGCTCTTTCCACCCCTGTTATCAAAAACAAGCCGGCATGTCTTGTCAGACATCAGCCCCTCGACAAACATGTCCGAGTCCATGGAGTCCACCCCCTGGAACAAGCTGTGCAGAACTGAGGCTGTCAATGCTCTGAATCGACTTTCTCTGCAACTGCATGTTCCCCAACGAGGTCCCAGAAAAATCAGAAAGATCTCACACTCTGACTGGCGTGCATCTTCCAACTGTTTTGGCTCAGAATATCAGGCATGGTAAAGTAAAGGGGTACAATTGAAAGCACCCATCACAACTCTAAATCCCGTGGAGCTCTGGAGTCTTTTCGTTACCGGAATCCACAAACCTGTCCAGATCTGTCGCCTGTTTCAGGACGGACTGTTTCGACACGGACCTTGGAAATGGAGCGCAAACAAGCGAAGCAAAATTGCTACAAAAAGAACATCTCCTTCGAAGCTTCATGCCTCCTCTACACATGCCTTGCAGCCTAGATTCCCATCATCTGACCAGAGCTTGCCCAAATAGTTCCCAGACGTAGAAAGGGAATCCTGCAGTAAATGCAAGATCGCACCAAAAAAATCCATTGTCTCTACAGTCATGAAACCTCCTGGTCGTGGGTGCCGGAAGACCTGGCCGACGATGTGCCGCTTCCGATGGCTTCCGTTTTGGAAAATCTACCAGCACATAAATCTGCGGCGCCTGTGAGACTTGAAAGATAGTCTGTTCAAGTCAGCGAGCCCAACGCTTGAAGTCATTGAAGATAGCTCTACCGCCTGGCAGAATCAGCGTGATCACCGCGTTGTTGGTGTATGTCATTCTGAGCTCCTTTTCTTCCGGAATTCTGACGAAATTGAGAAGTTGCTGCGCACCGGAGTGATCTTGTCGGGAATGAACGTGAATGAACTGTCTGGAATTGTCTGGAGACCGGAAGCTCAACGCGTGCGTTTGCAGCACCAAGTCTGCCAGGCCTTCGAGTTTTTTCGCTCAGAAATGAAAAGCATCAAACAAAGCGCAAAGAAACGCGGACTTGTTCTGGCGATGGTCATAACGTTGTGGAGCGTCTTAGTTCCAACTGCGGCGTGTCCCTACCTTCCCCTTCAGGTATCTTGATGTATCTTGCAGGCAGCTTGTGCAGTGTTGCGGTATGAAGTCGCTCCTTCCAGAAACTTGCTGATCTCGGGGCTTCACTGTAGCACCGTGAGCAATGCCGGTATAGCTAGTCAGCTCTCTAGGCTTAAAAGCGAAAGTGTTTCTGTCACTCTGACAACTGTACAGAATGACGGAGCATCTAAACTCACAGCGGCTGATCAAAGGACAGGGAGCTGGAACGAATCGACACGCATTTTCAGGCAGGTAAAGGCTGCCTCCAGGCTTGGTAAACAGTTGAGCAAAGGCACCTGTTGCAGCCTGTGCGTGCTGTTTCTGCGTGATGCAAACGGCATCGAACTGATGCGATCAGCAAACACACCCAGGTCGAGAGGGAAACGATATCGACTTACAGCAGCCGGAGCTCTGCGATCAGACTCCTGTCCATTGACCGAACCGGCAGCGATGACAGTCAAGCATAAAGCATTGCACTTACGACTAAACTAACACATGGCAACATCTGTCCGGTTCTTCAAGCTTGTGGGCACACTTCCGAGTCCTGGGAATCGGGCCAGTTGAGTCAACATGTTACATGTCGTGCTGGCTTGGTATGCTGTTCTGTGCCAGATGCACTCAGACTTTGTAGGAGGGGCAGGCTTGGAAGTACATGAAAAAGCAACACGATATAACACGATGCAATGTGGTGCATCGCGTGGGATCTTTGATCTGACCGCACACCCAAGCACCAGCACACACACGCACACACAAACACACACGCTCACTATGCCCCCCCACATACTACAAATCACAAACCTGCTTGCCCCGAACAACTGCACCGGCACTTAGACTTGGACTTCACCTGCAGCACTCAGGTCGGTTCAGGCACCTGTACCTGCATGGCCCGTCCCACAACTATCAGCAGGACATTGGAGCCACACCTGAGACAAAAGTCTCCCCCACACCTTCAAGGGATCACTGTGTGAAGCATTCGGGGTGCAGTTTCATGTGTTGCGTGGCTGTAGCAAGCGAAATTAATTCTCGTTGTCTTTGTCTTTGCCTTGCAGGCACTTGCCGCTAATATCCTCTGAGGCTCGTCCTGCTAGCTTGATACTCCCTCGGAACGGGCTTGGGACACCCCGGAGCTTGAAGCACCCATCAAGTGCACATCTCTCAAGCACTTGTGCTTTGCAGGCGTCACCGTCGCGAACCGTCGCGGACCCTACATGTTACATGTCCTATCCGTATTTAGCGGAGTGCCCTATGCTACACGTCCTACGCACCGTTCATGCTCTCAGTCCACACCAACCTTTTTCCGGCAACCTGCCGACACATGCAATAGCAGCTGACTGAGCAATTCAAAGATGACATCCGCAATGGCCTGCAACTTGCTCAAACGGGAAATTCCGAAAGACCGGCATAAATTCCGAAGCACGACCCAACACTGCTGTTCATGTATGTTTCGAGCCACAACCAATCTAGTTTGAATCGGTGGCACCAGACTTACCTCTCGCCCTGCATGATGCCTCCTGTTTCGCATGAAACCAACAACGATGGCACGCGAACCAAGTACTTTAACTTCACTGGGTCTCCCTACAGATTCCTACAGTGCTCGTTGTTCCATTTAACGGCTTAGATGTCTTGTTTCGAACGCCGACATGCGCATGCACGTGCACCGCCACATGCCCCCATGAGCAGCCGACCTTGGCCTCAGGCGCCTGAGCACGAAGAGCCCTTTCCTGCTCGGTCCTGACGGTGACTCAAGGGCGCCGGCCACGAGGGACAAAGGGTTGTCAATTTGCAGCAAGGCGTCGGCTACGAGGCAAAACATTTTTCCAATTTGCGTGCAGCCCTGGCCCTGCTGGCGTCAGCCGCGGATTCGCACTTAAACCCGAAAACTAAAGGACGTCCCGGTCGTGGAGGAGTCCGACTGTCCAATTTTGCCTGGTAGTCAGAGTTCTCGAAGCTGTGGTTGATTCACATTGCTCTTGACAGTTTTTCGACATCTCGTCCGAATCTCATGCTCTGAGAGCCCTGAGGCCAAACAATTCATGCCATTATGGGGTCCTTCAGCATTCCTCGGTCGAAAGTGTTGCAGTTGAGCCAAGATTGTCATCGCGAAATCACACAGTTTTGCCGGCGTCTGCATCTCTCCTGTGATCTGTGGTTCGGATATCCCGGTGGACGTGGCCGCCACGACACGAGAGGCGAAGGATTGCGGAGATGAGTTCTGCGACTCTTAGCCGTAGCTACTTGTCTGAGAACGTCGTGGCAAACGAAAGGGCGGCTGGCCTCTTCGAATCCTCATGCTTCGGTCTCGCTTCGGCCTGACTGCGCTGGAAAATTTCAGCCATGGAGATCACAGAAACAGTGGCAGCAACGCTCCTTGGCGTTTGGAGTCGGTGCGCCCGAACTCACCTTCGACCTGTTCCTGTGCTCCCTGAGGACATAAACCTTGCGATGTGGGGAGATAGGCACAAAACAAGTTTGATAGCAAAGCAACCATGATGGATGGCACTCTCTTTCAGCTGAGCGTGAGTTCGCACAGAGGCCCTGGCAATCGTGCAAAGAAGAAGGGCCAACATTGCCAAAACAGCTAGCAAGCCGGCAATGACCTGCTAACAGAGAATGTCTCAATGTCTGTGCTGAAACAGATCATGCACCTGCATCCGCCGCTGATGGGCCGCATGGAACACCTCGCAGGGCACAGGGGATGCGGAAGCCACGACAGCGAGACAAGCACTGGGTGCGGAACCAACCATGCAAGAGCTCCCGAGATTAGTGACCTGAGAAGTTTATTAACATCCTTCAGCTCCTACATGCCGCTTTGGCGTCCTCCTCCCACTGCTCTGATGATGACGAAGGCCATCGTGCTGCTGCTGGGTGGCTTGGCCGGTACCAGGCGTCGACTTCTGAAACGCGTGATTCTACGCCCCGGCATATCCACAACCGACATTCCGTCTTGCATGTTGTTAGTACTGGCAGTAGTAGTGGTGGAAGCGGCAGCACTAGTAGTGGTAGTAGCTAGCAATGATAGTAGTAGTACTGTGGATGGAGGAAATCTTGCACCGCTTTTAAGAAATGTTATATAACTTCACCCCACGCCCCCTTCTTAACATTGCTATGAACACGGGACTTTACAAAATCGTTCCAATGACATAAATCTTGCACTGCCCCAAGAGATCTGTCATCAATGTTAAAAAGGGGGTGCGGGGTTGTTGCTTGGATGTG